CAGCTTGACTAGTATCTGTCAGTCCCAGATTCAATCAAGTTGACAACCAAGATTAACCATTAAAAGTAAACACAAGCCGGGCGGTGGTGGCACACGCCTTTAACCCCAGCACTTGGGAGGCAGAGGCAGGTGGATTTCTGAGTTTGAGGCCAGCCTGGTCTACAGAGTGAGTTCCAGGACAGCCAGGGCTACACAGAGAAACCCTGACTTGAGAAAAAAAAAAAAGTAAGCACAAATGCCTGTGTACACACCCAATGTATACACTAGACAAGATTGTTCACTATCCTTATTTCTGTGACTTATCAAGTAGACTGAGCTGGTATCTGTAACTGCCTTCCTCTACTGCCTACTCCTCCTCTACAAGCACCTCAACAGGTTTTGGTTCTTTCCTTTTATCCCTGAAGGATCTAGCCTTGTCATTCCATTGGCCTTGATCACAGGATATGCCACATCAAAGTATCCCTGAAAGGATCTCCTGCACTGATAGCCTGACTTCCATTTTGGAGAAGCAGTCCAGTTCCTCCTTGATCATCATGATACGTCACACACAAGAACTGCTTGCTCAAACTTGTTTAAGGCTGGTTGGTGGGAAGATGGTTGGTTGGTTTTTTTGTTTGTTTTGAGACAGGGTCTCTCAACAGAGCCTTGGCTGTCCAGGAGCTCACTATATAGAGTAGGCTGGCCTCAAACTCAACAGAAGTCTATTTGCCACTGACTCAAAGATGTGTGCCATCACACCCAGCTATAACTACTTTCTTAATCTGCTGACTCGAGTATCTATCAGGAGCCCAGAATGTCTTAGCTTACAGTTCAGTGGGGTGTTTGTTGTGCCTGTGGGCAAAAGCATCCCATGTTCTGGTACCAAAGTTTCTTGGTCACAGAAAACAATGTTGCAGGGTTAGAAAGCAAAGGTTCTTGTGTCACTAGGAGTGGTAGTAAGTGGTACCATTTCCACCCCTTGGTTGCTAGACCCATGAATCCCTGTAATAGAAACAGTGCCATATATTGGATGATGATTCAAAGCACAGGCTTCTGGGGAATCCTGTCTCAGCTCTTGAAATCTAGTTGAATTTACTTCCTATTCTTCAATGCACATATGCTTTACAAGCCCGGTGTAGCTGCTACCTTGAGCCCACCTGGTCTAGTCAGTGATAGAATGGACCAAAAGCAGCTAAGAGCTCATGCCAAGCAGGGGACAGGAAACACACTGGGGATGGCAGGAGGCTTTTGAAGTCTCAAAGCCTGCTCCAGTGACACACTTTCTAATCCTTTCTTAATGGTTCAAACCAAGTCCATGTAATTCATACATGGCCTGGTGGGGCTATTCTCACTGAGCCATACTGCTTCACAAACAGATGGGAAGACTAAGGAGGATCATAGTCATCTGGAACTTCCAGCTGAGAAGTCCTGGTAGAAGACGTGGGCGACGATGTACTGTACGGGTACAGTACCATTCCTAGAGACTGCTTTCCTGGGATGTGGGGACCAAATGTTAGGTTGAGGGAAAGAAGAAAGGCTCAAGAGTGAGATGTCCTGAAGAAGAGATCAGCTCCTGCCAGACAGCCTCACTGTTGGGCTAAGCTATCTGCCTTGAAAAACAAATGATGACATAGTTATTTTTTCTGAAACAAATTTTTAAATTTTATGTTAATTTCACTTTTTGGCAGAAATTTCCAATCTAGCTTTTGGTTTGGGTTGTTTGTTTGTTTCATTGTGTTTCTTTGGAGACAGGGTCTTACCAGGTAGTTCTCATCTGGTACCCATTGTGTAGACTTGGCTAGCATTGAACTTGGAGTAATTCAGTTTCTGCCTCCCAAGAAATTATGAGACATACCCCCAGACCCTGCTTTGTACATGAAGATTTATTTTTCTCCTTTCCTGTTGTCTTTTTGTTAATTGATTTCTCAGTTTTGCTCATGGTAGTATGGAAACATACTCTGTTACTTTACCTTGTTTGTTTGTTTGTTTGTTTGTTTGTTTTTGGATTTCTGAAATAGGGTTTCTCTTTGTTATCCTGGCTGTCTTGGAACTTGCTCTGTAGACCAGGCTGGACTCAAGAGATCTGCCTGCCTCTGCCTCCCAAGTGTTGAAATTAAAGGTGTGTGCCACGGGGCTGGTGAGATGGCTCAGTGGTTAAGAGCACTGACTGCTCTTCCAGAGGTAATGAGTTCAAATCCCAGCAACCACATGGTGGCTAACAACCATCTGTAATGATATCTGATGCCTTCTTGTGGGGTGTCTGAAGACAGCTACAGTGTACTTACATATAATAAATAAAATAAAAAAAAAATTTAAAGGTGTGTGCCACCAATGCCTGGCTTGTTTTTTAGGCAGGGTCTTACTGGTTAGTCCTGGCTGTCCTGGAACTTACTACCAAGCCCTGTTATTAAATATGTTGGTACTGTTTTATAGACTAGAAAAAAAATTTTTTGAGGATGATCTAAGGACGTTTTAAAATATATGTTCTATGGGACCATCAAAACGACCCAGCTGGTAAAATCATTTTCTGCCAAGCCTAACAACCTGGGTTCAATTCCTAGGACCAGCATGGTGGAAGGAGACAGCCAACTCCTAAAAGCTGTTCTCTGACTTCCACAAATGCAGTGACATTGAGCCTAGCATGGTGGCACATGCCTTTAATTCCAGCACTCCAGGACAGCCAGGGAAACCCTGTCTCAAAAAAACAAAAGCATAATTTAAAAAAATCAAAACACTTGAAAAGGACTTCTGTATAATCCAAAATAAGTAATTGGTTTCTATTACAAGAGGGAGGAGTCAGGGCGCAGTTACAAAACAGAACCACCCCCTGGTAATGCAGTCCAATGTCTAGTAGCCACTGCCATCTGAAGGTTGTCTCCCAGGCTCCACCCACTGCTGTTACTAGTGGTCCCACAGAGCTGGTGTCTCCAATACACTGCCTTCTCAGCTGCTCTCCATAACCCGTCATGTCCCCAGTACTAGTACTAACTTCAAACCATCTGGGATACTCTTACACAACACTAAGCTCGGCTGCCAGCTCAGGGTTAGGTTTTGGTCCTGCTGGATCACAAGTAATGTGTGCTGACCCTGAGAAAATGTTTCTCAGAAGATTTTGCCTCAATGATGCTGGTCTCTATTAATGACAGCCTATGTTTTTTCCAGCCCCAGCTAACCAGAAACTACAGATTCTTAATTCAAAATATTACACAAAGCCGGGCGGTGGTGGCGCACGCCTTTAAACTTGGGAGGCAGAGGCAGGCGGATTTCTGAGTTCAAGAGTTCGAGGCTAGCCTGGTCTACAGAGTGAGTTCCAGGACAGCCAGGGCTACACAGAGAAACCCTGTCTCGAAAAAGCCAAAAAAAAATATATATATATATATATTACACAAATGCCCAGTAGAGTTTTTGCTTTAACAAGCCAGGTCTCCATCATCTGTACCTCTCTCATATTCCTTCTTCAAACCCCTACAACATTAAACTCTCAGCAGCCAACGGTCTTTTCTAGCCCAAAGCTCCAGATACTTCCACAGTCTTCCCACAAAACAACATGGTCAGACCACCATAGCCACAAACCCATTTTCTGGTACCAATTGCTGGATTAGTTTGCTTTCTGTTGCTGTGATAAACACCAGAAACAAAAGCAACTAGGGGTGGGGGTGGGGTGGCACACACCTTTGGTTCCAGCACTACAGAGGCACAGGCAGATTATCTTCTGAGTTTGAGGCCAGCCTGTCTACAGTGTGAGTTCCAAGGCAGCCAGGACTACACAGGAAAAAAATTGTCTCCAAAAAGGGCATGGGTGTAGGGAAAGGATTTTCACAGGAGGAAACAACTTAGATCCTTGGATATGAAGTAAGGGTCCTTCAGTGGAATATGAAATCAAATATCAGGAGGACGGGGTGGGTTGTCAGCAACAGAGGAGAATGTGCCAGTTTTGCAGGAGATACTGGTCTTTGGATGTGGTGGGTAAGGGTGCCAGGGGTACATTGGTGTGCACCTCAAGTCAGGTACAGAGGAGTATGGAAGAGCACTCGGCTTCCCGTAGACCCAGAAGATCCTATCCATTGGACACTCCCTCCTTGCTTGCCTCAATAGCTGCTAATTTTTCCGACTCCAGCTCACCGATGACAATGTGTCATTCATTCATCTGGTGCCTGGCACTGGGAGGGGAGGGGGGGCGCGCTGAGCATTGCAACAGCTGGGATGGACGCATAGTACATTTCAGGAAGGGAAACAGCAAGCAACATCTCTGGAGGTGTGGCACAGGGCTGGCAGGAACAGAATGAGTGAGGTACATTTCTTCCCTGTCCTAAAGAACTGAAGGGTGAAAGAAAGAAAGCAGACCGCAGACTAGAAGTCAAAGATCCAGCTCAGGCCAAGAGCTTGTCTGGAGCCACGTTCCCTGGCGCATTCAGTTCCATCTTCCGTTGCCACAGAGACAGGAGGTAGTTACTATGGAGACTGACTGCCAGGACCAGCCAATCCCGAGCTGCTATTTCACCTCATCTTGGGGCTGAGGGGCTGAGGCTCCTTCCCTGGGCTCTCTGTGTCCTCTGTCCAGTCATTGAGCAATAGGTTGGGCCATAACTTATTAAAGTGGCCCTGCCCCCTCTGCAGAATATATAGCTATCTCTCCAGATTAAGCCGCACCCCTGGTTCTGAAGACACCTTTTGCCTCTTTCCAGTTAAGAGGCGATGTCACCTTGGGAGGAGTCTGGCCTCGAAGCGGCCCCTTGGATGCTGCGGGAAAGGCGGGGCAGGGCGCAGCCTTCTGGCCCTAGACTCAGCAGTGGGAGAGAGGCGATGGGGTGAACGTAGAGAACAAGCGCCCTCCCTCTGGCGCTCCGCAGTGCTCGGCGCGCTGGCGCACGCTCATTCGGCTTGATAGGCGGGCGAGGCAGCGCTGACGTCATTTACGCCCCCCCCCCAACAGAGGGGCGGTGGCCGTGCTGGCTACTCCGAGCGCATTGACGGACAGAGGGACAGAGAGACAGGGGTATCAGCAGGCACACGTCCAGGCCATGCCCGGGGAGGCTGCGGGCGCTGAGCTGTCGCTGCCTGAGGCAGGAGGGCCTGGATCCCGCACAGGTGAGACCGCGCCGGCTCCCCTTTCTGGCCCAATACCTTTCTCTGGCTTTCTCTCTCCTCCATCCCTCTGCCTCCTCACAGTCCCCTCCCCTGTCTCTCCAGACCGGTTCTTCCCTCCATCTGCATCTTCCCCTCCATCCCCGAGCCCCAGCATTTCATGAAAGCCTGGAGGCCGCAGACTGCATCCTCCTAGCCTTGAAGCTATGAAGGGCAGCGTCTTGGCCTTTCACTCTGGGCTGTGGGGGCCGTACTCTTTGGACCAAGTCCCATTTACTTGGGTCTCTGTGCCACATCGCGTTCCATTGTCCACAGAGAGTTGGGCCCCAGGACCTATAGTGGGGTGTCAGGTTTGGAGGGGGGAGGCCCAGAGGATCCTTAGAGGTACCTTTTGTGCCCAGGGCAGCAGGCGGCTAGACTTAGTAGGCAGTTGTAGTACCAATGGAACCTGGGAGCCCAGCCAGAGGACACCGGGCAGAGCTAGGTCTGAGAGGTGGGGCCCTGAACAGGTATCCCAGCCAGCAGTGGTCTTACTATGCAGACCTTGGAGAAGAAGGGACATTAAATGTTGGTAGAGGTCAGTCCACTTTCAGGTCTTAGGATACTCTAAGTTTGAATGGTCCCTACTGGAGATGGGCTGTGTGTAACTTGGGCAAAGCCAAGGGCACCTTGCTGGGTGCAAGAAGTTATCTAGGGACAGGATGGGCAAGACTAGGGATGTTACCAGTGCTGTGCCAGGGTCCTGGTTGAGAGCTAACAGTTCCCACCCTACTCTTGCTGGGGAGCAGGCAATCCAGGCTGAGACTCCTCAGACCCAGTCATAAGCTGGTTTGCTTGGTGACCTTGAATGACACACACACACACACCCTTTGGTTTTTTATTTCCTTCCATTTTAACCTTGGCCCAATTCTGCCCTACTGCCCTGGGTCCACACTAGGACATGGAGATGGCAGGAGCCTGACTTGGGAACACCCAGTGATGGCTACTAGCCACACCCACGTCCAGTGCCATGTCCCTCAAAGAACCTGGAGGAACCCCCTCCCTTTCCTTCAGGACCCCTGGTTGCCCTAGTAGCCCAGGTTCAGGTCAATGAGTCAAGCTGGTGTCAGAGGCGAGTGTTCAGACACGCTGAGAGCAGAGAACAGGGAGGAGGCCGTATCCCCTTCAGCCTCCCTCTCATCCTGGCTGAGAACTGCTCAGTAGCTGAAAAAGACAAAGCCACCACACCACGGTGCAGGCGCAGGCGATGTTGCCCTGTCACCAGTGAGCATGGTAAAGCCAGCAGCGTTGGCAGTGTGCCTGCTGGAGCGGCAGGCCCCTAGGCACTGCCCCTCCCCCTCTTACGCAGGCTGTGAACTGAGCTCTGGGGACACTAGGGAGGCTTTAAGTGGATACTTCAAAGAGATGTGTGTTTGGCCTTGGTCCAGGTAAGGGAAGGGCTGTTACAGAGTTTTTAAAAATGAGCACTCAGAGAACCACTTACATGGTTGAGCTAAAAGCCAACTCAAATGAGTGTGCAGAGTGACCTGAGTAGGGACACGCAGCTCAGCAAGAAGCAAGACAGCATTAGCCAGAAAGATAGGAGGGAGCGTGGGGGTGCTGCCATCTGGAGAGGCTTCTTTGCTGCCTTCCTAAGTCCCTAAGTACTCTCTGACCCACAATGCTCCACGACCAGAGCGTGTGTAAATGATGCAGCACGTCAGCAGGAGGCGTGTCAGCCCAGGAGCTTTTGTGAGCACCTGTACCTGACCAGATAGTGCCGGAGGCCTAGAGAATGACCCCAGGGTAGGCCAGGAGCTCCCAGCATGGTGGAGGATCTGTCGCCATGAGCATTGGTTGGCATGTCCTGTTCCCATGGGCATCATTTCCCACCGCGGCCCTTTTGAGCAGGATGCTGCAGCTCTGTGGCACATGTCTGTCTCCATTCTCCAGAAAGTTAGCTCTGTGTGGGGCTATGCTGAGAGCTCTGAGGAACCCGAGGCTGGCCTCGAGTATAGGCAGCAAGGGTAGGAGAGAGACGAGCTAGAGGCAGAAGCTCTTGCTTACAGTAGACCTGGAATGTTCCAGAACTGTAGTGTGCAGGACCCCTGCCCTTGTCACAGGAAGGAGATGGCACTGTCCAGTGGGTTCTCATGGCCCTCTGTTCTCACCAAGCCCAGGTGAACCAAGCTGAAACGGCAAGCTGGATTCTGAACAGAGACAATTGTGTCTAGTTTTGTCTTTGCTGAAGTGCCCCCCAAAAAGGCCTCGGTTTCTAATACACAACAGCACTCCTCATGGGCCCCCTTCATACTAAGCCTCTGTCAGCAGCTGCCTGATCTGCTGTAACACCTGGAAATTCTTCCTCAAATACACATAGCCTACGGGCCATTGTCTTCTCCACTAACTTCCCTGGCCAGCCCTCCTCTGGAATTGTAACCATGGAAACCTGCCCATCTGAGGTTCAGCTGTTCACCTGGCCTGGCCTGGCCCTGAAATGTGTCCAGAGGGCATCTCATGTCCTTTTCTGTCTCCACAGATCTCTCATGTGATGCAGCTATTACAACCATCCTGAAAGGGGACCAACTGGAGCCCCATGGCCTGACCCCAGGGCCTAGTCCTCTGACGCTCACATTCCTGTCCAGCAAGCCAGGTGCCAGGCCCCAGCCTGAGGGGGCCAGCTGGGATGCAGGGCCCAGTGGGGCTGCCTCAACCTGGGTGGACCCGGCAGAGGGTAGCCCAGGCATAGTGGTCCTCCCTGAGGGCCTGCCTCTCCGCCCTGTGCCTGCTGAAGTCCCTCTCCCCAGCACCCTGGAGCCCCGCATCGTGATGGGTGAGGAGACATGCCAGGTCATCCCTTCACTCAGGGCAGCCTGGCCAGTGCTCAGGGACCGGGAGGGTGGGCACACTGCCCTGCACCCACCTCCGGAGCTGTGTTCTCAGGGTGATCCTCCTGTGCCTTCCCCTCCCCCTGATCTCGATTCTTACTTCACACCCCCCTCCACTCCCACCAAGACCACCTATGCCCTGCTTCCTGACCATGGGCCCCATAGGGAGGCCTGGGATCTGGAGGCCGAACTGCTGGATGAGTTACTGGACTCAACACCAGCCTCACCCTCCGGCTCCTACATTACAGCAGATGGGGACAGCTGGGCTTCATCACCTTCCTGTTCCCTCAGCCTGCTGGCCCCAGCTGAAGGGCTGGACTTTCCCTCCGACTGGCGCCTCTCCCCATCAGGGTCAGTGGTAGATGAACTAGAACCACACCCCACAGCACCTTCAGAGCCCCCATCCTCTGAGTCTAGCCTCTCAGCAGACAGCACCTCTTCCTGGAGCCAAGAGGGCCATTTCTTTGACCCAAACTTCCTGGCCAACGACCCAATGATCCCTGCCGCCCTACTACCCTTCCGGGGTAGCCTCATCTTCCAGGTGGAGGCTGTGGAAGTGACACCATTGCCCCAAGAGGAGGAGGAAGAGGAGGAGGAGGAAGTTGCTGCTGCTGCTACCCCGGATGGAGACCTGGCTGGAGAGGGTGAGGACGACAGCACATCTGCCTCCTTCCTGCAGTCACTGTCCGACCTGTCCATCATCGAGGGCATGGATGAGGCCTTCGCCTTCCGGGATGATACCTCGGCAGCCTCCTCTGACTCAGACTCAGCTTCTTATGCAGGGGCAGATGATGACAGGCTGTACAGTGGGGAGCCCCATGCCCAGCCCAGTGCTCAGAATACAGAGCAGGAGTACAGAAGCAGGGCTATATTTCCGGGGACAGAATTCACACCTCAGACATCAGAGCAAGAGGAAGCTACCACAGTGACTCCTTGGTTGGGGAACAAAGTTGACTCGGTTGCTGAACAAGCATCTGAGGCTCTTCCTGAGACCTGCCAGAAGGGGATAAGCATGATCTTAGGCTGTCAGTCCCTCACTGCAGAGGCAATTCCAGATGTGCAGGAAGGAGCAAGCCCCACCTTATGTCCAGTCCTTCCTGAAAACTTGAAGGAAGGAGGCCAGGGCCTTCCCTCCACACTAGAGTATGTGGCTGTGGCTTCAGAGGAGCCATGGAAGGCTGGGGGAGGTGTCATAATTCCACAGAACCCCCTTGTGACATTACCCTCACTCTTGCAAAGTACAGATCTCACCTCAGGCCCAGAGTCTGTGGCTGTAGTTGCACTAGAGCCCCAGCAGGATGAGGGGTGTGTCACAGTACTCCAGGATATCCCTGTGGCATCACCTTCACCCCTACAAAGTACAGATCCAACCTCAGGTCCAGAGGCTACGGCTGAGGCTACATTTGAGTTCCAACAGGCTAAGGAAGGTATCCCAGAACTCCAGGGTTCCCCTGTGGCATCATTCTCAGCCCTACAAGGCTCAGATCCCACTTCAGAGCCAGAACCTGGGGTCGTGGTCACATTGAAGTCCCAGCAGGATGAAGGGACTGTCACAGTACCCCAGGAGTCTCCTACAGCAGCATCTCTTCCCCTGCAAAGCTCAGATCCCACTCCAGACCAAGAACCTGAGATTGCTGCCACACTGGGACCACAGCAGGCTGAGGAAGGCACCACCATACACCAGGTTGCCCCAATAGTATCACCTTCACTGCTGCAAGGCTTAGATTCAACCTCAGACCTAGAGTCTGTGGTTGCAGGCACATTGGAGTCCCAGCAGGACGAAGGGATTACCACAGCAACCCAGGACACCCCTGTGGTGGCACCTCCACCCCTTCGAGGTACAGATTCCACCATGGACCCAGAGTTGATAGCTCAAGACACCTCTCAGGCCCTGCAGAGAGAAGCAGGCTACACCCCAGGGACCAAGTCTTCCGTCTCTGAGGCCCATCACGAATTAGGTGTGGCCTTAGGACCAAGGCCAGTGCCTAAGGAGCAGGATGCAGAACCTCCTTCACACTCAGCACTCCCAGCTTCGAATCAAGCCCAACAGAATGGTTCAGAGCCAGTTGTAAAGAGTGACAATGTTGGGGCTCCAGGAGAAGAGTCAGGTCCCACTTTGAGCACAAAGACCTCTGAGCCCACATCTTGCATGGAGGAGAAAGTAGCTGAGAGCATATCTGCACCCACACAAGGAACATGTCTTGAAGCCCACGATAGGGTCAAGGCCCACTCACCTCAAAGAGAGGCCTTGAGGGCCAAGAACAAGCGTGGTAGAGGCCCCAAACCACCAGGACAGGGAAATGGGGTGAAGTCAGCACCATCCCAAGGCACCATGGAGACTTTCAAGGCACATTCTGCTGCACGCTCTGAGGTCAGCCAGCCACAGCTGATGAGCTCAGCTGGAGAGGGAAAGAACCCGAGCAGCAAGGACACCTCAGGCCCCAGGCTTCCTGTGGCTCTATCTGTACAAGCCAGGCTAGGTTCCTGCCCAGGGTCCCCAGCAAGAGCCACATGCACACTGAGCAGGGTCTACTCTGAAGAGACTGCCAGGTGTGCACCACCCTTCCAGCATCCGGAGCCTATGCTGGGCCTGGGCAGTGGAGAACAGCCCAAGGTGACCCCCGGTACCCTTAATCTTTCCCCAGAGAACTCTGCTGGTGACCTGCTCACCACACCTCAGAATAAGTTTCTGGACCCTGACCCTTCTGCTCCCAGTGTCCTGGACAGGGTATCCCAATCATCCCCAGGGCCCCCAGACCCCTGCCTGTGCCCCACTCCCCAGAAAGCCTCTGTGGAGGAGGAGCCCCCAGCCTCTCGTGGCCTGATACCTCGGGCAGGAGCCCAGGGAGTTGCTGCCATTACCACCTCAGGATCCACAAAGCCTCTGGGAGCCCGGCAGCGTGTCAGCCTCTCACCTCACTCCACCCTCAACCCCAAGGTGACCCCCACAGATGCCAAAGACCTGGCTTGCAGCATCTCAAGCCCCTGCCAAGTGCCTCCTCCCTCTGGGACCCAGAACCCATCGGGTCCTCGAGGGTTCCTAGCTCATGAACAACAAGAGGATGAGGATAGCCTGGAGGAAGGTAAGGGAATGTGGGGGGGAGGGAGGGTCAGTGCCTGGGCCAGCTGGATTCTTCCCAGGGAAACACTAGAGGATGGGACTGGTGGTCCCTCTGCAATAGTAAGAGGACCTCACACCTCATCCCTCCCCCAGACTCGCAGAGGGCCCCAGGCTCTGGACAGCATTCGGATAGCCACGGGGAGTCGTCCGGTGAGCTGGATGAGGATATTTCACCTCAGAAATCGCAGTGCCCGGCACAGGTGCTGGCCCCAGAAGGAGGTGGGTCTCTGGGTGAGCACTGGCCCAGCTCCTACAGATACTTAGCCTTCCCTTCCCTATAGGGCCCAGCAGGCAGCAATGAGGAGAGCATCACCAGAGCCAAGCAAAGCCGCAGTGAAAAGAAGGCTCGAAAGGTCAGCTGAGAGCTCCCCTAGAGGACCCTGGGAGAGGACATAAAGGGAGGCATCCTTCCTAATGCCCTTTAAACCCGGTAGCCAGTGAAATACTTGAAGAGGGTTGAGTCAAATCTAGTAACCCACCCCTACCCCTAAACACTGGCATGTCCTGAGGAGGCCCTTACAGAGGGAGGTCTGCCTGACAAGGGGAAGGGCAGCCATCCAGTCACAGGAAAGGTGGTCTGAGTCTCCTGCTCTCTGCCTCAGGCAATGTCGAAACTGGGCTTACGGCAGATCCAGGGGGTCACCAGGATCACCATCCAGAAGTCCAAGAACATCTTGTTTGTGATTGCCAAGCCAGATGTCTTCAAGAGCCCTGCCTCAGACACCTATGTGGTCTTTGGTGAGGCCAAGGTCTGTCTTGGCTAAGATCGTGCTGTGGTTTGGGGGAAGGGCAGGGAAGGGCAGGAGTCTGTGAGCTCACTCACAGCTGTCTGTACTGCAGATCGAGGACCTGTCCCAGCAAGTACACAAAGCTGCAGCAGAGAAGTTCAAGGTGCCCTCAGAGTCCTCAGCCCTGGTCCCTGAGCTGGCAGCTGGACCCCGTGTGAGGCCAGAGTGCGAAGAGCAAGAGGAGGAAGATGAGGAGGTGAGGCCTAGAGGCTCTGGACACTTTGATGGGTGCCTGGGTGAAGGTTAGGGTGGGATTTTACTCTGCCTGGGCAGCACCTGTTTCAAGGGGTCTCAGGCAACTTAAGCCACCTTCTTATTTTCTTCCACTAGGTAGAGGATGCTGGACTAGAACCTCGTGACATTGAACTGGTGATGGCCCAGGCCAATGTGTCCAGGGCAAAGGCTGTGCGGGCCCTGAAGGACAACCACAGTGACATTGTCAATGCTATCATGGTGAGCAAATACTGGCTCTTTCCTCAGCCCAGATGTCCCTAGGGAGGTCCTTCACAAAAGACCCTCTGCTAATATGATGCTTCTTCTGCAGGAACTGACAATGTAGCTGTTGACTGGAAGCTGGGGCAATTCTGCCTCTCCTCAGCTCTGCAGCCCAATAAATCAGTGTCACATGATCACCCTCTGGAGTCCCCTCAGTTCTGTGGTATTGTCTCGTCACCCCTCGGTGTCTCATTAGGACCTTTGATGTCCGTCACTGCCCTGTAGTGTCCCCTTGGCACCTTTGTTGCCTTCTGTCAGCTCACTGCTTGATACCATCACTCCATTGCCACCATCCCCTTTTGGTGTCTGATCTATCTCTGCTGTTACCTGATTGCCCTTTGATGGTTCCTCCTCCTCCTCCTCCTGTGGCCCTGTCATCCCCCCGAGTCCCTTCGCCTCTCTCCGGCAGTGTGCTCATGTACTCTCTGTCCTTTCCTCCTGCAGCTTTGGCTATAAAAGTATGGCTGCCCAAGTCCTTCACTTCCACATACACTCTCCTGGTGTGCATATGGGACACTAGGACGTGACTGAGCACAGGGTGGACATCGGCCTGTCTTCGGTATCTCCACTTCAAGGAGAGACTTAGCTGCATGCAAACCGAAAGACCACTCCAACAGTGTCTTGGTTCTCTTGGCTTGGCCTAGGCTCCCATGACGAGCCCCAGGACAGATGACAGGAGAATTCTGTCAAATGCTGTCCTGAAGCTATGCTGAGAAAAGCATCCATGAGATCCCAGGGACACTGTGGCTTGTGCTGGATACAACTGAGGTGTCCAGAGAGCCCCAAGGGCTCTGCCACAACCATCCTAGGCCTTCTGTCAAGGACATAGAGCCTCCTCCCCAAGTATAGGCAGCAGAGGCATGTGACCAGTCTCCTCAGCCTAGCTTTCTAGGGCAGCCTGACCCCAGGTCACTTCCCTCATCTCCTGGTGGCTAGGAGGGCTTTAAGGGGTCTAGAGGGTAGAGGCCAGAATGAAGTCGACATGCATGAGAAGAGCTGACTGGCAGGGGACAGAGTGAGGGCCATGAGACCCATGTCAGCCTTCCAGCCTTCCTCTCAGCTCTGTGGGCTCCACTCTTCCCTATATACTGCACTTCTGACCATCAAGGAGGTTTAGGGACGGGGCCAGAGCATGGGACTGTCCTTGGGATAATCTATGCATGGAATGCATAGATCAAGGTAGCCCTGACATGTAAGAGATACCAAAATGCCTGCTCCTGTCCCTCATCCACAGCCAAAGCAGAAGCACCAGTGCTCTCTTCTACCCAAGCCCTGGATGCCATGGGCAGACATGGCCAGCAGATAGGGGCCAGAATGGACCCCTCCCAACTTGTGACAACATGGCTTTCAACCACGTGGAATAGAAAAAAAAAATGCTTGACAACCGGAGATTAAATTATTCACATTGCAGTAAACTTCTTTTTAAGGTCTCTGAGAAGTAGAAGAGGAAAGTCATGTGCAAATATCAGCTGTCCAGGGCCAGGCCGGCAGGACTGGCTCTCCCTGCCAGCTGCACCTGGCCCTCCCCGAGTGGGGATATGCTACAGGCATTGCTGAGCCCCTGAGGAATAGGCACAGAGGTTTCTGCCCTGTGTTGGGGCACATGTCCTGTGGCAGCTCTCCACTCCTTCACAGTAGAGGACCTGGCCACTGGAGCCACCTTTGTCTGCAGCCCCTCCCTAGCTCCAAGCTGGGAAGGGCTAGCCCTCGGGTCTGGGCACTCTTCCCAGGAGGCCTGGGAAGGTTGTGTGAGACAAGTGTATGCTCTCCCGCTCCTTCACGCTGAGTCCTGGTCCATGCTGCAGCCTAGTGCTTCAATATCACTACTGATGTCTGAAATCATGCGGTCCCACTCGTCCCCCTCAGAGGGTGCCGAGCGGTCATCAGGGCTGCCTGTGGTCCTGTTTCCATTGGTGGTGGATGTGGAGGTGGTGCTCAGGGCACGCCGATGCCTGCCAAAGCTGTCAGTGATGATGCCACGGCCATCTTTCACACCAATGGTCTCCAGGAAGTTTTCAAAGTGCTGACTGTCCTTCTCGGGTATAAAGGGCCTCAGACCTGCCAACATACAACCCCAGAGTAACACCTCAGGGTTGGGGGGGGGGGGGCTCAGGACCCTGACACCACACAAGCTGTGCCCTGGAGCCAGGTTTAATTAAATCCGACTGACAAGGGCCCCAGCTATGAATGGCTTGCCATCTGTCAATCTCACTCTCACTGGCTTCAAGGCATGGCATCAGTCAAGGGTCTATGACCTTCAAAGCCCCTATCTAATAGGGCAGAAAGCAAAAGCCACAAAGTCATGGGCAATGAGGTCTGTCCTCAGAGCCAGGACTCATGACAAAGCCAGTCCTACTCAGGAAGACCAGTATCTCAGAACCCCAGCACCTTGATGTGGCAAGGCAGGCTGGGCCCACCCAGATGGGATAAGTTTATAGACACATCAGATGAGTTTACAAACAGCATTCTCCTGAGGTGGAGCCTTTGAGAGAAACCCAAAATATCACTAACACTACTAATTACAAAACACAGGAAACAGAAGGTAAGGTGCTCAAGGTCACCCTCTCCTACTCAGAGAGTTTGAGGCCAGCCTGACCTGCACGAGACTCCGTACTCCTACAAAACCCTGCTTAGGTGGGGGTCAGGAGGTGGTAGAGAGGCCTACACGCTAACAGCACTGCCTGCCTGATGCAGGACTCTAAACAGCAGGTACCCACAGCTCAACTCTCTTCCAACCCACTTTTTCTGAGAGTCTTGCTACATAGCTCAAAGCTAACCTTGAACTTGCTATCCTCCTACCCCCATCTCCTAAGTGCTCCGATTATGGCTGGGTCCTAGCGTGCCTGGCTCTATTGCCATTTCTGGCATAGAGGCAGCTGAGAACAAAATGGGAAGGAGCTGGCTTCAGGCTTCTGAATGTGCATGCTGGGCTGGACGCCAGGGGCCTGGAACGTGAGCCTTACTGAGGACCTGACCCTGCAGGGAGCGAGGAGCTCAGACTAGACTCTAGTCTCCAGTCCTTCCTGACCAAAGACAGTGCCAGGCAGGCAGCTGATATTCTCCAGGACAATACAAAACAAGATCAGCAGGCCTCTCTTGGTCTACCAAGAGCACAGGGAAGAACCTTCCAGGTGAGAGACTGCTGTGGCAGGTGACACCCGGACTGCCAGTGGCTCTGAAGAATGCGCCAGGCGCTTCGAGTGTCTTGTACAGAGATGGGTCCTTCTATCTAAATGGTGTCTTTGTTTCTCCATTCAACAAATTTCTACATCCTCCCCAAAACCCACTGACAAAGATACTTCCCTAAAGGGTCTCTTGAGTCTTTCCAGGAGCACAGTTCTGATTTGATGGCTTTTGTTTAGACTGTCTCAGGACCCTTTTCACGATTCCCAGGAGAGCCAATCCAGCTCAGCTCAAGGAGGGAAGGGCCCTTCCAAGTACCTACGTCAGTCCTGCAGCCTCAGCCAAACTGTCATGACACATGTGATGGAGCTCCTCCCCCTGGACTCTGCACACTCCCAGAAGGGACCGGCAGCCCTCCCTCCTGAGCCCCACTCACCAAGCAGCAGGAACTTGCGGCTGTCCCCATAGAGCTGCCGCAGGCTGATGCAAAACTCATGGATAGAGGCCCCGTTGCGGTATTCATGTAGCAGAGCTGCAAACTGCTGGATCTCCTGTGATGAGAGCTTGGTGCGTAACTGTGAGGGAACAGACATGCAGAGGAAGGAGGGCTTAGCGTGGACCTGCTGTAGACTCAGAATGCCAACCATGTGTCTTGTCATCAGGCCCAGCAGAGGAGCTACACAGAGAAACAGGGCAAACACAGATCTGCTGTCTTGAGACAAAGGAGTCCTCAATAGGGCTGAAGGGAACCAAGCTCTCTGCTTGGAGCAGCAAGGGTGTATACATGACCTGGGAGTACACGGTTCTAGAAGGCTGACTTCAAAGACAAAGGCATCAGGCCTAGGCACCAACGGAACTGCTGTTTCTAATCAGCACCAGCATGGTCCAGGCCCAACAGCCCAGCACCAACTCAGGCCCACAGACCCCTACAGACCAAATAGTAAAAGCAGGCCATTGACGGGGCCTCTGCCTACCGTGAGCATGTAGTCCTGCAGCAGTTCCGTGGCGCTGGTGCTCAGCTCACTCTCGCTGACAGTCTTGCTATGGGGTGATGTCTGCATGCAGAAGGGCAAGGGCGGCAGGCCTCCCATATCCCCAGAGTCTGGGAAGCAGCTGCAAAGGCACAAGGTACAGTGTGAGTGGGTCCCTCACAACCCACCTCATGTGCCTGGTGTGGGCTGGGGTCTGTTGTCCTGTTCACAAATATAAGCAAAGAACACTGACTAAGGAATAAGCCACATATGGAGATCAAGGAGATCCCAGGAGTCAGCTAGTCTTAGTGGACCTGAGGCCCAGTGAAGTGACTCTCAAGATGGCTCATGGGGAAAAGGAGGGAGAGCTAGGGCAGAAGGCTTGTCCAGAGCTGACAGACAGCAAAAGTGGGTCAGTAAGGCTGGGTGAATGCACAGGCCGAGCTAACAGACTTTACAAGGGTACAAGGAACCACCATTTTGTGCCCTTTCCAAGGTCACTTCTGGAGGCTGCAGAAGGGAGTGACGGGAAAGGACTGGCAGGGCTCTAAAGGTGGACACTGGGGATACTGGACTCTGTGGTGCTGAAGAGAACTTGTGGGGCCAAGCTAGAGACCAGACACATAAGACCAGCATTTGATCAAGCGCTCAGCACATGTACTCACAAGGTGCTGGCATCAGCGTCGTAACTGTCCTTCATGTCCACTTTCGTGGAAGAGTCATCTGTGCAAAAGATGTAGAAGACATGGAGGGCTTTCAGGGACTAGTGGGTGTTTCAGGCCCTGGTACCCTGCTGGCCTTAAACTGAGCACTCGATGCAGGTAATCCCAATGTCACATTTAAAGAAAGGAGCCCCCGCTCTGGGGACTTCATCATGCTTCCTATACTGGAACATGCTGAGTGAGCAAGGCAAAGTTCCCAGACTTGAGCCCACAGCCTGTCACAGGCTGGAGTCCACAGAGAACTCACAGATGGCCAAGGTAGTAATAGCTGCTTTTGGAGATGTGCTCAGCTAAACCAGAGAGGTAATGTTACTTGTCCCAGGTCACCCAGCAGAAGCCACAGAGCTGGGCAGTTGAATCTCAGCCTGGACATAGCTGGGTCCCTCCGTATAGCAGAGGATCTGGCCCACAACAGTTGTCTGAGTAATGTCCAATAAATACCACTTTGTGTAGTTAAGATCACAGCCCTAAGGAAAGACACTCCCAACACCAGGATAGGCAATGAGCGAAGGCTCTCAGGGAGGTAGAGTCCTGAGTAAGACTACCTAGGAGCAGGAGACAGTGATGGGACCAGGTACATGCAACGGCATCTGAAGATGTCACATCTCCTCCCGAAACTGTGACTTGCAGCAGTACAAGG